AAAAATAATAATATTAACTGTATTAATGCGTTATAATAATTTGATATAATAATACAACAATATAGGTACAAGTAATATAATCCGAGTGACTATGACGTCAACGTGATGTGAAGCCATAGGAACACTGTAGTAGAAAGTGAATGTTCTGAGCACAGAAAGGGCTTTTGAAAATCATCAGACACTCTAGATTAAGAGGTCTAAATTTCTTATTTCACAATCATTGAATTCATGATCAGCATTGAATGCTCCCGTCGAAATTTATCAGATAAATAAATTTATTTTTATGTACAAGAGAACGAAGCTTGCAATAGTTCGCATATAAATGCGTATAATTTACAGTGACGGTAATTTCTGCAATAATCGATAAGCAACGATCGTACATCACTTTGTCGTCACTCGATTAATTTTTTTGCTCACTTTCAAAGAGACTCGCCCTTATTTAAGTAAACACAATACAAATACGCGCGCCTTGTCTCACATCCACGCAACATTCCTCTTACGTTGCACGAACGATTCCTTTCTCTTCTACGTAAACGCCGCTGAGAAGGCACCTATAAAAATTGCCATTAAAACGTCCACGGTCGCGGTTTCTCTCGCACAATCTATCGGCGACGCCGCAATTTTCCGTGAACTAATTTATGCAGTATCTAACTGGGATTTACATACATCATGTTGTAGCATACATTTAAATACTTGACATCGTGCTTGACATGATACTGAACAATATTATTTAATTATTAATTATTAGTATTATTTAACTATTAATTATTACTATTATTTAACTATTAATTGTTACTATTATTCAATTATTAACTATTACTATTATTTAACTATTAATTATTACTATTATTTAACTATTAATTGTTACTATTATTCAATTATTAACTATTACTATTATTTAACTATTAATTATTACTATTATTTAACTATTAATTGTTACTATTATTCAATTATTAACTATTACTATTATTTAACTATTAATTATTACTATTATTTAACTAGTAATAGTAATTATCTAATTACTAATCATTACTATTACCTAATTACTAATTATTACTATCATTTAACTACTAATTGTTACTATTATTTAAGTATTAAGTATTACTATTATTTAACTACTAATTATTACTATTATTTAAGTATTAATTATCACTATTATTTAGCCATTAATTATTACTATTATTTAATCATTAATTATTACTATTATCTAACTATTACTTAACTTTTTATAAAAAACGAATCAATTCTTTATAAAATAATTTGCAGGAAAATGCTTAAAGTTTCTTATTCAAATAAAAATTGTGAAAGTCGGGCAACCACTTTTAATCGCATCAATAAAACACTTTCTTTTTTTTAAATCTTCGATCCAGCGTTGCAGACGTGTTTCCGTTACTTTCGTATTCACAATTATAGATTGCGGATTTTTATTTCCACTTTATTTCTACCATAAGGAATTTTCTATACACTTGAATTTATCGGGTTTTGGAAAATCGGGTTTTGTATTAAAGAAACATGAATGAACTGAAAATGCATATTTTCATTCGTTCTCTCGAGTGGTTCTGTGCCTAACAACGACTTTCGCGGTGATTCCATTAGCGTGTGTGATCCGTGCGAATGAAATTCATTAGACGATCATTCTTGCGATTCGTTCGAAAGAAAAGATTGAGAATCGAAACACGCTGCAAAAATCTTACACGTTCCAAACGGACTAGAATAGAAAGTTTTCACACGTCGGTGTGACAAAACACACACTTGCTTGATCGAAGTAACGTGTTTCCCCTCCGCCGATCGCACACCGTTTACGCGAGGGTTTTTCCCAATTGTCTGACCGCGTTGCAGTAGATCCGACTGCGCGGAGTCGTCTGTTTTAATGTCAAGAAATTCAATCGGAACGGCATATTCGAAATATGTATACCTCGCATAAGATTGCACGCATGCAGGGAACGTGTTCCGAATAAACCGATAAATTCCTTCAAGACATCTTGCACGATATGAAAAATTTCTTTCGCAACCGAATCTACCGTATGTACGAGGATTTAAGCTTCCTCTTTGCAACGACCTTCCCCCCCCCTACAAAACTTCGCGCACGATTTTCTAGCGGTTTTATCGAACGGAAATGACAAACAAGTTCGCTTTTGTAAAGTTTTTTTACGGCGTACCTAGCGATACTGAAAAATTTGCAGTGCATACATCTTTTATTCATAGATCAATAAAATGGCCGAACAAAATCACACGTTAAATCGTAGAGTCTCGTTTTATGCTTTCCAGTGCTTTTTGGGCCGTTTCGCTTTTTTAAATTTTCGTTATCGGCTCAGATGAAAAAGTTAAAAACGAGGTTTTTTTTCTTTTCATTCCATGTAATAGCAAAATTAAAAAGAAAAAGCTTCTTTTAGGCATCGTGCAGTAGACTCGATCATAATAAATAATAACATAATAAAATAATAATAAATAATACAATTAAATAATAATGAATA